GATAGATAGATAGATAGATAGATAGATAGATAGATAGATAGATAGATAGATAGATAGAGCTGACACCAGCCTTCTTATAATGACCACCCACAAATGCTAAGCCTGCCCTCTGAGGTCAAAGAGCACAAACCAAATTATGACTGTGATGATAGTGATGATGAAGTCAGAGTGAAGCCTTCTTCAACAACAACTCTTGAGTTGTTTGGACAGACCCCCATCAGTCTCCTCTTCTGCAAGCTAAGTGTCTCTAGTTCTTTCAGTGATCTTCATACCACCCAGTCTTAAGGCCCTCCACCATCCTGGTGGTTCTCTTCTCAATGCTCTCCTGTTTGTTAACACCATTTCTAAAAGGAACCTTGAGTGGGATATAGTGGAAAGTGACAGAGGACATAGGTTTAGATCCTGGCTTTGCTGTATATTCCTTCTGACCTTGGGCAGGTCATTTCTCTGGGCCTCAACTTCTCTATCTGTCAGAGGGGTAGGAGAAGAGGGTTGAAAAGATTCTTCTAGATTTGACTTAGGTCTCTCCAAACTCTGACATTCAATGCTCTTAGGTCTGATAGCTCATTGGACTCCTTTCCCCCTATCCCAAGGGTCTCCTGATGCCCCTTCTCTCTATCCTCATTGTTCTCTTCACTGGCAGCATTCCATTTTCTCAATCTATCCTGACCTCCTTCCTTGCCTCCTACCCACCTAGCAGGACTGACCTATCCTACATTCCCTTCTCTGAGTGGTCTTCTCTCTACTGGATCAGAGGACAAGGGGAAATCTGATCAATTTGTGGGAAAGGACTAATGGGTATGGACCCCTTCCAGTACACACGTGCATTTTCATAATAGGCCTTCAGTTCCTTAGCCCCGCCCACCCCCCAAAAAAACCTGAGGGTGGGAATTTTAGGCACCATGGCCAGTTGGGTAGGGAGATATAGTTGGACAGCAGGGTCTTTCAGTGACCCTGAAATCAAATCACATTTTCATGGCTTATGTAACATCCATGCCTGGCCAAAGCTAATTCTTTATTTCCCCAAAGCAGTGTGGGTCCAGCACAAGCCTCTGAAGAAGGATGAGGAGAGAGGCAGGGAGAATAGTTTCAGAGACTCCAAGCTTAACATGAGTCAACAGTGTGATATAGCAGTCAACAAAAGCTATTGGGATATTAAGAGAGGCCTCACTTCCAGGAATAAGGAGGTACCTGGCAGCTTACTGTCCTGTGCCTTGGTCAGCCCAGCATCTGGAGCATTGTCTTCAGTTCTGAGGGGGATATAGGCTTACAACCAAGAACAAGTCTCCCCACAAAACAGAGTATGATCCTATGGGGTGGGGAGGAGGGGGGAATGGATCTTTAATGAAATAGAGAACTTCTAAGTATTCTAATGAAAAGACCAAAACTATGTAAAAAATGTGAAATGCAAACACAAGACTGAAGAGAAGCATAAAAAAGATAAACACGAGTGAGAAATCATAAGAGACTAATGTTTACATTCTTATATGGGGAGTCAATGTAACCTCTCAGAACTTTATTATCATCAGAGAAGGAGTCTAATTAGACAGAAGGCCTGGGTGTTATTCTGTTATGTTTGGATGATCTTAAAAGAACAGTGAAAGTATGAGGAGGAGGAATGCACCGGGAAAGGAGGAAAGAGAAAGGAAGAAAGGGAAAATTGTCTCATAGAAATGGGGTGTGCAAGAAAGCGTTAATACAAGGAAGGGGTAAGTTGGGGTAGTGGGCAACTCTTGAACCTCACTCTCATCTGAACTTGGTTAAAGGAGAGAAGAACACACATACACACACAGTTGGGTGTAGAATTTCATCTTATCCAACAGGGAAGTGGGAGAGAAAGGGGTTAAGGGAAGGAAGAGAGAGGAAGGTAGATTAAGGGAAGCAGTAGTCAGAAGCAAAACAGACTCTCAAAGAGGAGACAGGGAAAAAGATAAGGAAAAGTATAACAGAATAAGGTGGAGGGAAATACACAGTTAGCAATCATAGTTGTGAATGTGAATGGGATGACCTCACTCATAAAATGGAAGAGGATAGTAGAATGGATTGGAATTCAGAAACTAAGAATATGTTATTTATAAGAAGCACACTTGAAACATCAAGATCCACACAGTTAAAGTAAGGGGATGGAGCAGAGTCTATTATGCTTCAGCTGAAGTTAAAAAAAAAAAAAGCAAGGATAGCAATCATAATCTCAGGCAAAGCAGAGACAAAAAAAATCTAATTATAAGAGATAAACAGGAAAATTATATTTTGCTAGAAGATATCATAGTCAATAAATTAATAATATCAATACTAAATATATATGCACCAAATGGTATAGCATTTAAACTCTTAAAGGAAAAGGTAAATGAGTAACAGGAGGAAAATAGTAAAAGTAAATAGTGGGGGACTTCCATTTGCCCCTCTCAGAACTAGATAAATCTAATCATAAAATAAACGGAAAAAAAATTAAAGAGATAAATGGAATTTTAGAAAAATTAGATGTGATAAACCTTTGGAGAATATCGAATGGGAATAGAAAGGAGTATACCTATTTCTTGGGTGTACATGGAAACTTTACAAAAACTGATCATGTATTAGGGCATAAAATCCTCACAAACAAATGCAGAAAACCAGAAATAGTAAATTCATCTTTTTGTGACCATAATGCAATAAAATTTATTTTTAATAAAAACCTTTGAAATAAAGATTAAAAATTAATTGGAAACTAAATAAATTAATCCTAAAGAATGGGTAGGTCAAAGAAAAAAATCATAGAAACTCAATAATTTCATTAAAGATAATGACAACAATGAGACAATGTAACAATTTGCAGGATGCAGCTGAAGCACTATTTAAGGGAAATTTTGCATCTTTAAACACATCAATAAAAGAGAAAAAGAGCAAGTCAACTATTTGGGCTTGCAATTTAAAAAATTAGAAAATCAACAAATTAAACTCCCCCAGAAAATTAAAACCTAAAATATAAATCCTGAGCCCCAAAAGAGAAATCAGCTAAATAGCAAGTTTAAAAAAATAATAAAACTAGGAACTGGATTGTTTTTTAAAACAACAACAACAATCAAATAGATAAGCCATAGTTAGTTTGATTTAAAAAAAAAAGAAAACCAAATGACCAATATAAAAAATGAAAAAGTTGAATTCACAACTGATGAAGAAGAAATAAAAGCTATTATTAGGAGTTATTTCATCCAACTATATGCCAATAAACGTGACAATCTAAATTAAACGTGAATATTCGTTGTTGCGGCTTTTGTTGCTGTTCAGTCGTGTCCAGACCCCACGAATTTTGTCCATGGGGCTTTCTTGGCAAAGACGCTGGAGTGGTTTGCCATCTCCTCCTCCAATGTGTCCCCATTTTGCAAATGAAGAACTGAGGCAAATAGAGGTTAAGTGACTTGCCCAGCGTCACAAAGCTACTAAGAATCTGAGGTCAGATTTGAACTCAGATCTTCCTGATTCCAGGCCTGTTGCTCTATTCACTGCACCACCTAGCCACCCCAAGAATATTTACAAAAATATTAATTGGCAGATAAACAGAACAGGAAATAGGATTCTTAAATAGCCCTTTCTTAGAAAAATAAATTGAACAAGCCATAAATTAACTCCCTAAGGGGGGGAAAAACAGGACCACATGGATTTCCAAATGCATTTTACCAAACATTTAAAGAACAATTAATTCCAATACTAATAAAGTGAAAAAATAAGTAAAGAAGAGGAGCTAACAAAATGCCTTCTATGACACAAATATGGTCTTCATACCTAAACCAGAGAGGGTCAAAACAGAGAAAGAAACCTATAGGCCAGTTTCCCTAATGTATATTAATGTGAAAAAATTTTAAATAAAATACAAGCAAAGAGATTACAGTAATCACAAAAAGAAATCATACACTATAATCAATCTGGATTTATGCCAGGAGTACAGGACTGGTTCAATATTAAGAAAACTAAGCATAATTGAACATATCAACAACAAAAACAACAAAAAATCATATGATTATTTCAGTAGATAAAAGCTTTTGATAAAACCCAACACCGACTTCTGTTTAAAAAAAAAACTGGAAAGTATAGGAATAAATGGAGCTTTTCTTAAAGTGATAAGTAATATCTATCTAAAACCAAGATCAAGTATTATCTGTGATGAGGACAAACTAGAAGCTTTTCCAATAAAAACAGGAGTGAAGCAAGGATATCCATTATCACCATTACTATTGAATATTGTACCAGAAATGCTAGATATAGCAATAAGAGAAGAAAAATAAATTGAAGGAATAAGAATAGGCAAAGAAGAAATAAAACTCACTTTTTTGTAGATGATATGATGATGTATTTAGAGAACCCTACAGAATCAACTAGAAAACGAACTGAAAAAAAATGAACAACTTCAGGAAAGTTGCAGGACATAAAAATAAACAAATACAAACTATCAGTATTTCTGCATATTACCAACAAAATCCTGCAGGAAGAGATAGAAAGAGAAATCCCATTTAAAATAACTTAGACAATATATAATACTTGGGAGTCTACCTGCCAAAACACATGCAGGAACTTTATAAACACAATTAGAAAACATTCTTTATACAAATAAAGGCAGATCTAAATAATTAGAGAAATTGATTAGTCATGGTTGGGCTAAGCCAATATAATAAAAAGGACAACCCTACATAAATCAATTTACTTATTCAGTTTCATACCAATCAAACTATCAAAGAACTACTTTATGGAACTAAAAAGAAAATCCTCTAGTGAGGGGGAAAAGGCCAAGAATATCAAGAGCATCAATGGAGGGAAAAAGAGAGGGAGAGAAGGAGAAAGAGAAAGAGAGAGAAGGAGAGAGAGGAGGGAGAGGGAGAAGAGAGATAGAAAGAGAGGAAGGAGACAGAAAGAGGAGGGAGGGAGAGAGGGAGAGAGAGAGAGAGAGATAGAGAGACAGAGAGAGAGAGAGAGAGAGAGAGAGAGCGAGAGAGAAGGGTACCTAGCAGTACATCTACAACTATGCTACAGAGTTGTAATTGTCAAAACAGTTTGGTACTAGGTCAGAAATAAAAAGGTTGATCAGTGGAATAAATTAGGTATATAATATATAGAAGCAAAGCAGCACAATAAGCTAATTTTAATAAACTCAAAGATGCTAGCTACTAGGGTAAGAACTCACTATTTGACAAAAACTGTGGGGATAACTAAGAAAAGTGACTAAGAAAAGTGAGGGGTAGACCATCATCTCACATCATATACCAAGATAAGTTCCAACTGGGTACATGACCTAGACATAAAAGGTGACATCATAAGCAAACTAGAGAAGAATGGAAGAAATTACCTGTCTATGGATTATTGGATGAGGAAAGGGTTCGTTACCAAATAGTAGATAGAGAGGGTCACAGGAGGTAAAATGGACAACTTTGATTATATAAAATTTAAAAGATTTTGCACAAGCAAAACTAATGCAGGTAAGACTAGAAGAGAAGTAGGAAATTGAGGAAAAATATTTGCAGCCAGTTTCTTTAATAAACGTTTCATTTCTAAGATATATAGGGAACTAAGCCACATTTATAAGAATGAAAGCCATTCTCTAATTGATAAATGGTCAAGGGATATGAGGACGAAATCCAAGTTATTAATAACCATATGAAAAAGTGTTCTAAATCACTAGTAATTAGAGAAATGCAAAATAAAACAACTCTGAGGTACCACCTCAACCTATCAGGTTGTCTAAGTTGACAAAAAAGAAAAATGACAAATTATGGAAATGTGGGAAAATAGGCACACTAATGCAGTGTGGGTGGACCTGTGAACTGGCCCAGTCCTTCCAGAAAGCAATTTTGAATTAAGCCCAAGAAACTATTAAAATGTGTATGCCCTTTGACCCAGTGATATTGCTATTATTAGGTCTACACCCCAACAAGATTCAGAAAAGAGGAAAAGGACCCCTACATACAAATATTTATAGCAGCTCTTTTTGCTGGAACTGGAAGAAATGGAAATTAAAGAGATGCCCATCAGTTGGGGAATGGCTGAACAAGTTGTGGTATATGATTGTGATGGAATACTATTGTGCTGTAAAAAATTAATGAAGGAGATGGTTTTAGAAAGCCCCAGGAAGACTTCATGATACAAAGTGAAATGAGCAGAATCAGAATAGTTTCTACAATAGCAACAATACTGTGAAGATGATCAACTCTGAAAGACTTAGGAACTCTGATTAACACAATTCCAAAGGACTCATAATGAAACATGCCATGCACCTCCAGACAGAGCCGACGGCTCAGAGAGAAGATGGAAACACATTTTCTTTCTTTTTCCTTTTTTTCTTTCTTTTGGAATATGGTAATATAATAATATGTTTTACACGACTGTACATATTTGTAATAGACTTGGTTTTTCTTGCCTTCTCAATTGGTGGAGAAGGAGGAGAGGAAGGGAGAGAATTTGGAACTAGAAATAAAATTGAATTTTACAAAAGGAATCGCCTTGAGAAGGGCTTCCTTGAATGGAGGAGCTGAGAGTTCCCATTATTCAGGAGGCGGTGAGGAGTCATTGAAGGTTTGAGCCTAGTGCTGGTCACAGTGGAAACCTAGGAAAATTGCTTGAGTTTGGGGAAGGCATTGACTAGAGGCAGCAAGATTAACTGTTGTCCTGGTCTGAATGAGAATGAATGAAAATAACTCACATTCTCTTAGCATTTTTCCTTACCATAGCCCTGCAGGTAGCACGATTAATATTCACACTTTTCGTGAAGCAGAAAGATGGTAAGGGGTTTCAGTTTTAGCAAACACGGATTAAGCCTCTATTTTGTGCCAAGCACTGTGTAAGGAGCTAGGGCTACAAAGACTAGCACAACATGATTCCTGCCCTCAATGAGCTTATATTCTAATCAAGAAATATAAAAAATTCACAGATGAGCAAATACAAAGTCATTTCAGGAGGGAGAGAGCGCTGATCCTTCTGGAGGTGGAGAGAGGGAAGGCAGGAAAGATTCCTTGTAAGAGATGGCACCTGGAAGAAACCAGGAATTCTGAGACCTGCAGGCCCCAGGCATGGAGATGGGAAATGGCCTATCAAGTTTAGGAAATAGTTGTGGGCCACACCAGCTGGAACACAGAGGGCTTGAAGGGAAATTATGTGAAAGGCATGTGGAAAGGTAGGTGGGAGATCATTAAACGCCAGTTTTTATTTCATGCTAGAGAAAATAGGAAACCACTGAAGATTTTTATTATTATTATCACTAATCATCACCTTCACATTTATATAACAGTTACACATTTGCAAAAAAAACTTCATATGCTTTATCTCATTTGATTCTTACAACTCTAGGAGGTAGGGAAAATAAAGTTAAAAGATTAAAGTGACTTGCTCAGGGTCACACGGCCAACAAGTGACTGAAGCACGACTTGATCTCAGATCTTTCTGACTTCAGTTCCACCGCTTCTATCTCTGCACCGTTGAGGTTTTCAGTAGGAGAATGACACGCTCAGGCCTGTGTCTTAATAACACTACTTGTTGGCTGTGGAAGATCAATGGTGAAGGGAGACTGTAGGTGGCTGTGGTGATAAGACAGGCCAGAGGTGATGAGTGCCTGGAGTGGTGTGGTGGCAATGTGAGTGAAGAGAAGGCCATAGATAGAAGAGATGCCACGGAGGCAGAATTGACAAGACCTGGTCACTCACGTGATATAAAGAGTGGAAAAAAAGGAGAGAGTCAAGAATAACTCAGGGGCAAACCTCAATTCCTGGAAGGATGGTGATGCCCTTAAGAGAAACAGGGAGATTTGGAGGAGGGATGGGCTTGGGAGAAGCCTTGTGAGTCCTGATGCGGTGGCTCACAATGTTTATTTCAAGTCTGTGATTACACAATGTTTTTAGTCCCATTCACATGGAACAAAAGGGCACTTAGAGATTCCACCTAGGTTATTTGAGTTATGTGACATGAACACTGTGTGACATGAGTAATAGAGTTCCAGGCCTACCACCCACTGGTGCCGCATCTTTCCCATCTTTTCCCCTGGGTACTCACCCTGTGTCTTTTACCAACCCCTGAGCATACCCCTCCCTCTCCAAGCCCTTCGCCTTCACTCATGATTTTCCCTGTGTTTGCAACACCCTCTTCCAAAACCCATTTCTGCCTCCTTGAATCTTTTCCATCCTGCAAAGCCAAGCTCAGCTGCCACTTTGTCTAGAAGGTCCTCCATGATCTGGTTCCCCTGCTTGGAAATGCCCTTTCTCTCCTCAGTCTTCTATGCCCTTGTCCTGCTTACATTCTATCTCTAGAGACTTGAAGTTGGGACTCACCTAAAGGACAGTGGAGAGGTAGGTGTGACCAGCAAGAGGTGAATGAGGAAGAAGAGGGTGAAGGATGGCAGATCAGAAGAGAAGGGCTGCTGAGAGCTCACCCTCCAAACTGCTCATACCCTGGGAGGAGGCCACATTGGGGGGACCTCCCTTTGGCAATCTCCTGGACAAGCACGAGATGGGCAGGTGTGGCGGGGCTGCGATCTACACCCCACTGATGGGAGCCCAGAACCACTGGTGCGCCAGAGTAGAGTGAATTACGTTCTTCTCCAATCACCCCAGCTAGCCTGGGAGTTCCATTTGGGTGGAAATTATAACTTATCTGCCTTTGCATTACTCCCAGCACCCAACATGAGGCTTTGCACATAGGAGGGCTGAAAACGTCTAGGGGAATGAATGAGTGACAAGCCCGTTGTAGTTTTGAAACAAAGCTAAAATGCCTAAGGAATGCATTGGTCCATCCCACAAAGCCGTGCGTTCTTACGTTTGTCATTCATGAACCTTCGACAGAATTCTTGGAATGTTCCCCTGTAGCTCATGGTTCTCAGAGAGCGGTGGAACTGGTAGTAAGACACCACCAGGTCTTTGGGGTTGCGAGCCATGTAAATTACCTGCCAACAGGAAGACAGGTGGTTAGGTTCTCCCTGACCTTCCGTGGACTAGCCCTAGTGGCTGAGGAGGCCCCTGGGGGCCGTTACCTTGGAGTCCCCGTTATGGAGGTCTGAAGGCAGGAAGCGGTAGGGGAGGTGGCTCTTGATGAGTCGAGGGGATGTGAGCTCCTGCAAGAGAATATGGCCCGTAAGAGTAATTATTAATAATAATCAATAATAGCTCACAGCTTTAGAAGGTCTTCCTCACAACAGCCCTGTGAAGGAGGGAGCAAATATTCGCCCTGTTTTCTCTTCGGCAAATTACTCAAAGACCTCTAAGGACTTATCCGTCTTTGAATCCTGTAACCTAATGTGATATCACCTCTTTGAGCCCAAGTTTGCTCATCCGTAAAATGGGTAGAATCATGCTTGTAGTGTTTGAGTGTTTACGAAGCGCTTTCCTTGAACAACTCTGTAAGGTAGGGAGTACAAGCAATACTAATGTGACAAGTGGTACAACAATAATAGCATTTAGATAGCCCTTTAAAGTTTACAAGGGCCTTTACAAAGATCTCATCTGAGCCTCACAACCCTGGGAGGGAGGTGCTATTATTAGCTTCATTTTACAGATGAGGAAACTGAGGTGGACAGCGGTTAAGTGACTTGCTGAGTATCACACCGCCAGTAAGTGTTGGAGGCAGGATTTGAATTCAGGTCTCCCTGGCTCCAGGCCCCAGCTTTGGGAAATCTGGGGGCCCCTCGCTGACCTGTACTTATTTGTATTCTGTATATGCTTATTTACCAGTCTGATTTCACCCTCTGATACAATGTAAATTCCTTCAGGGAAGGGAATCTCATCTTTGTTTTTGTGTCCCCAGTGCATAGCACAGTGCTTGGCAAACAGCAGGTGCTTAATAGATGTTTGTTGATTGATTTATATATCACCAATTTAAATTTTTCCACCTATAACCCACAATACAGATGATGAGACCTCATTGAACACTTCCCTTATACCTTGCTTATGTGATTCAGTTCAATTCAACAAGCATTTATTAAGCACTTACTATATGCAAACACAGCCCCAGCCCTTAAGAAGTTGATGAATGGAAGCTTGACTAGGACATACTGGGCATTTCACAGAATCACTGATTTTAAGAACTAGGGACAGCTAGGTGGCACAGTGAATAGAGCTCCTGCCTTGGAGCCAGGAGGAGCTAAGTTCAAATCTGGCCTCAGACACTTGACAGTTACTAGCTGTGTGACCCTGGGCAAGTCACTTAACCCTGATTGCTGCAAAAAAAAAAAAAAAAAAAAAAAAGAAAAAATTGGAAGTGACCTCAGGGGCGCTCAAGGCCAACTCTCGCACTGAAGGAATCCCTGCTCACCTTGTCACCAGATGATCACCGCCACCTCTTCAGACAATCCATTCCACTTTAGGGCAACTCTAACTCTTAGGAAGCTTCTTAATTTTTATTTATTATATTATTTTATGAAATATTTATAACACTTCATATTGATTTCAATATTTATAAAATTTTATAAAGTATATTATTACTATATTTTTGATTTCATCATGGCTATTTGTGTTTACATCTTATGCCTCTGCTAGACTGTGAATTCTATGATGTGAGGTACTAATAATAGTAATAATAATAGGCATTTATATTGGACTTTAAGATTTACCAAGTGCTTTACATTGAGCCTCTCATTGTATGTATCCTCACAACAGCCCTAATTCTGAGGTAAGTGCTACAAGTATCCCATTTTGCAGATGAGAAAACTGAGGCTCAGAGCCGTTCGCTAACCTCTCCACAGTCACACAGCTAGCCAGCCACAGAGGCAGTATGGAGCCCAGAGCCCTCTTAACTCCAAGTCTGGCACTCTCCAGTGCATCCTAAAGTTTGGTATAAACCCTGTACCAACAGCCGGGCACCCACGGGTGGTATTCCCTAAACGTTTCTTCCTCTGAACTGAAGCAGACCATGACTGAGACACGGGTGCAGACAGAGAAGGGCCAGTCACCTTGATGATGTCCAGCCCTGGCTGAGGGTACTCCAAGACAGGAAGCTGTTCGTCGATGTTCATTAGGCCGATTTCATCCGGGTCAGCCCCCTGGCTCACCAAGTACACCACTTCCTGGAGTAAGCCTGTGCCTGGAAGAGAGAAGGAATGAGACGCCACTGCATGCCTGTGTTAAAATTAGCCCAAGGACGGCTCTGATTTGGCCAGGGCTTCACAGATTATGATGCCTGAGACCCACATTATCTCAGCTGACCACACAACAATCCTGTGAAGTAATACCTCATGTCTACCTCTTTTGGGTGTTTGACAGATGGGCCAGAGAAAACTGGTTTGACTGAGTGGGCCCCAGGCCCCCAAGATACATGTAGATAAAGACTGAGAAACCTGAAAAGCGAGCATTGTCCTCTTCCTCCCCCTGGCCTCTTGTGTACATGGCCCAGTTAGAGTTAGGTTCTTTGTGTATCTGCCCTTCATTCCTCTCCCTTAATAGGCCATTCAGAAAATACCCTCACTTCACTGATCCAGAGCATCTCATTATCTCCTCCTGTAGATGCTGGGATGATCTCCTATTTGTACTGTCAGCAATTTGTCTAAAAATCTGTGTATGTTTGAGCCCTGAGGGCCCCTGGGCCTTCCAGCTAGTGTTTGAACACTATGGCACATCCTGAGCCACCCCATGCCCACTCTCCCCCAGCTGAGGGCCACGAGGGCTGCACACCGAGACAGCGTCTGGCCTCTCCTCCACCTGAGAGCACATGGCAATGCTGCCCTTCATCTGAACCACTCCCTTCCCTTCTGAACTGCAGCTCCAGCATCTTTGTTTCTTTTCATTAGAGAAGGAAAGCAGGTCAGACCCACACTCTTCAATCTGGTGGTCCAGCTTTCCATGGTCCAGCCCCAGCAGCTCTCCTGAGCCTCCCCAGAGCACAGCCTTCATTTCACCTGTGTCAGGCCAGGGTTCTCCTCTCTGCCCATCCCCAATCTGACAACCACCTACTGACTCTGTGATTGGGCCCATTTGGAATTATGTTTTCTTCTCCCCATCTGCTGTCCAAATCTTAACCATTCTGTGAGGCCTATCTTAATCTCCACCACCCCATCTGTTCCAGCCCAGGGAATCCTAGAATCATCAGGACCTCAGAATTCATCCATTGCAACACTAACGTGAGAAAGCATTCCCTCTATAGCCTCCCTGCCATTGATGGGCCCATGCTCCGTGCTCCCTGACAAGTGGTCATCCGGCTTTTCTGGGAAACTTCCAGTCTCAGGGAACTCACTGCCTAGCAAAGCAGCCCATTCCACGTTGGGTTGGCTGTCATTGTTGGGAAGGATTTTTCCTTCTGTTGGGTCCAAACCTGCCTCTATTCAACTTCTCGCTCTTGCTCCTAGAACCATCATCTGGGGCCAAAGAGAGTCATCAAATTCCTTTTTCACATAAGAACCCTTCATTACTTAAGGACAGTTTTTAGCCTTCCCCCTCTCCCAGGTCTTCTCCAGCTATTTCTGTTGTGCTTTATTTGAAAGTGCTTTGATCTTTTCTTACTTTCTTTCTCTGACCTTTTCCACCTTTGCTCACACATTTATTCCCATGCCTGGGGTACCTGAACTCTCCCCTGTCCCCTTCTAAGCCTTGTACAACAAGATGGTGCTGGTCCAGAATTCATAAGACTTGATAAGAGATTGGAGGAGAAACTGGGAAAAATCACAGGTTGAAGCAAAGCTTTGAATATGCTCAAATCAGCAATGTTGGAGGATACCGCCATTGATAGAAATAAGGAGCTCAGCCCCTGAACGCTGGGGATGTTCAGGGATTTCTTTGGCTCCTAACTCTGGAGGGGTCTCATGCCTCTACCCAGCTCCCATTCCTCCCCATCTCCCCTCTGAATCGCCACCACCCCTCAAGTGTATGATGTCCTTGCCCCCAAGATTTTCAAGTGAGAGGGATGAACAGCTCAAGGAAGCTTCAGGCTATACACACACACATGCATGAATACACACATGCACACATAAACATGCATACACACCCATATACACACACATGCACACAAGACCCAGTGCCCACTGTACAGTGCCTAACAAAAAGTAGGTTCTTAATAAATGCCAGTTGACTGGCTGCCTGAATACATCAGCTATATTCACTGAGCACAAACCCTGTTTTAGGGTTCCTAGGGGGATGCAGATGGAAGGGGAGTTGCCCCTGCCTTCAGTGTAGGGGACAAACAGGAAAGCAAAGCACCTAGAACCATTGGGCAGGAAGGGCCCTTGGAGGTTTTCCAGTCCCAACTTTCAGCCCTCTACAACCCCCTCAATGGGTGCTTATCCCTGCCCATCTTTGAAGACTGAACTCTAGTGCCATCTCCTCCAGGATGCCCTCCTGTGCTTCCTTGTGGGCAACAACCTTCCCTCACATGTGCTACATAGTCTTTTGTTCACCCCCTTCCCCTTCTTTTGCACTTGTATGACATGGCACACTGGAGTTATTTGGGTTTTTGTTTTTTCCCCCTACTAGACTGTGGCTCCATGAGGGCAGGGACTGTCTCCTCTCTATACTTTGCATGTCCTCTAGAATTGAGCACAGCACATGCTCGGTAAGTCATTTCTTAGATCAAATCTTGGCCTCAACGTTTTCCTTGCTAAGGTGGTTGGGGAGGCAAGGAACACCAGATTTAGAGTCTGAGGACCTGTGTCCTAAATGCAGGCTTCTCCACTTATTAACCTATGTGACCTTCACGTCACTTCCCTGGGCCTCAATCTCCTCATCTCTAAGATGGCCTCTAAGACCTCAACAAATTTTAAATCTATTATTGGAGTCAGCCAGCGTTAATCTTGGCAGTCATGGGGAGTTTGGGGGAGAGACTTTTTTTAAAAGTAAATCTCTTAAAGTTCAGGGGATTAAGGCAGGAGGACATTCTAGGCTAGGAAAATGGCACGGGCAAAGTCTCCAAGGCAGAGTTCCAGTCTGCCTCTGGGGTCTGTTAGCCACCTACAGAAGAGGAACCTGCCCTTCCAGAAATGTCATTCTCAGAAAGGTACCTTCCATGCTCTGGCCCTGTTACCAATTTTATTTTTAGTGCTAACTTCCCTTCTCTCCTCCACAGGCTGATGAGCCAGAGGAATATTTTTGAACATTAAAATTCTCTTATGGACCTTGGCCGCTGCACCTCATCCTCATGAAATATTAAAGCCAGAAAAAGTAGTGGGGGAAGGGAAGCTCTTTTATTACAAGAGAATTGGCTGCTTCAGCAATTCTGAGCCGACGAGGAGACAGGATCCCCTGGGGGCCTTTCTCCCCAAGCCATGGGATCACGGAACCTCAGAGTCAGAAGAGACCTTAGACGTCATCTGGGCCAAACCCTCACCCATACAAGGTCTCTTCTGTAACACCTTCATCTGGTGGCCACCCAGACTCTTCATTAACCCCTCCAGGTCTGGGAGAGCATTCATTACCCAAGGAGGCAGCCAGCTAGTCACTGCACAGCTCCAGTCATTGGAATATGTCATCAAACTTTGTCTTGTTCATTTATTTCAACACAGCAATCATGGCCCACCCTGAATCTCCTCTTCTCCAGGCTGATGCTCATGTGCTAAGGTTTCCGATGGCTTTACCATAAGGGTCTCTTTCCCTTGGCTGCTCTCCAAGGTCCTTTCACATGTAGGAGGAGCTGGATTGGCATATACTCCATACTCCATGGAGCATATGTAAGGATGAGTCTATGGGAACCATTCTAATGAGCTTGCAGAATCTCTGGGGCCATTTCTGGGGGGACACATGCTCAGCACTAAAGGACTTGGGGCTTTGGGATGACACTGCACTCCCCAGGGCCCCTTAATGGCAGCATGGGGAGAGAGGGAGTGCGCATCAAAAGAGGATTGATGATGGGGCAGCTAGGTGGCATGGTAGATAGAGCGCCGGCCCTGAAGTCGGGAGGACCTGAGTTCAAATCCAGCCTCAGACCAAACACTTGACACTTACTAGCTGTGTGACCCTGGGCAAGTCACTTAACCCAACTGCCTAAGCAAAAAAAAAGAGAGAGAGAGAGGATTGACCAGTGAGCCAGGAAGAGTCCCCCACTTCAGAGGTTTAAGAGGGAAAGACAACTTCCTCTCCCATTCTCTTCTTCCTCTCTCCAGATCATGTGTCTCTCTAGACCATCCTGTGGGGGAGGGGGAAGGGAATCCTCTCCCCTTATAGCTGTTGTGGCTGTTCCCACCTGGGAGATGGAGCATTGGCCCTTCTAAGCGAGCGTGAGCTGTCGTCTCCAGGCTCTGGCTGCGTCTCCTGCTTACATCTTTTCTCTGATCAGAGGGGATCTGCCATCAAGCCTGAGAAGGAAGCTTCCTTCCTAGAAGGTAACCTTATGAGTTTTGGCAGCTCCATCAGCACTGGGGGAGGGGCTCCCTGCAGTGACCCCAACATTTCTGGAAGGAGATGATGACTGATGTGGAGTTTAGTCCAGTGGGTGCATATGAGGGGTGTGTGTGTGTGTCTGTGTGTCTGTGTGTGTGTGTAGAAAGTAAATAGCTGTCCTATACCTGATTTGTGCTGTACATTGAGTGCCTTCCTGTGAGGGACTGTCTGATGTTGGCAGTTGCCAGTTGGGCGCTGTGGCAAGAGTAGGGTAGAATCTGGGTATTTTGGAAGTCGAGGCAGGGGCTGTGGTAGGCGGAGTCGTGGTGAACTGGGATGGGCTGGGTATGGAGAAGCCCTGAGGCAGTGGGCAGTGCTATGTGAGATAAGCTGGGTACAAGGAAGTAGCGGAGCTTGAGCTCCTGAGGCAAGGGGCGGTGCCACGTGGGAGTGGGACGGCAGAGGACTGAGTTCCCTTTGCTTAGTCCCCTCCCTATATGCAACATCATCCCCAGACGCCTCTTGTGACCTTCCTGACTTCCTGGGTCCCTTTGTGTAGCATTGACCCCAGACCCCTCCTCCCAGTATCTGAGTCTGACTTCCTAGGTCACGTACTCTGTCTATACACTAATCCCAGATGCCTCCTCCCTGTATCCAGTCCTAGCCTCCTATGTCACTCCCTCCCCCTTGGTGTGCTAAACTCAGACAGCCCCTTCCGGTATCTGACCCTACAATCATTGGCTACTAGCGGGCTGGGGAGGAGGGGCTAAGTAGGTATTTAGG